CACACACACACACACACACACACACAGCATCAGCCCAATGCTCACATTTACCACCAGTATAACTAAAATAGTGCAATGACACAAAACAGGCATAATACATGCCGTTGCCAGGCTAAAACTAAAGCAGTGTTTTACTACTCTGCAATAAATGCTGCTTCCATGAAGGTAACAATGTTCAGTTTTTGTTAAAACTGTGCTATAGGTATTGATTCTGAATTACTTTAATGTTTGTCAGTTTAAGAATTTTCATTTTTTAAGTGTGCTAACAACAATCAGCACGCCCTGTGTGACCACTCCAACTCTCAGCCACTGAACCACAGCCTGAAAGTGTCATGTAAAATATATTCAAGTCACTTTTGGGTTTTTTTTTCCCCGTTTATGGGTCGCCACAGCGAATCGTCACACTGACCACTCGCATGTTGACATTTGGCACATGCTTTATGCCGGATGCCCTTCCTGACGCAACCCTCACTCAAACCTGGGCCACAGCGGCGAGAGCACCGCACCTTAATCACTGGCCTACCAGGGATGTGTACAACATATTAAAAAGTGAATTTGTTTCTGCAGACTTTTTCTCGGTTGATTAACAGCCAGCAGAGTTGAAGCACCAAATGTCCAGCTCCGCTCAGATCTGTGTTTAACCCTAAATCTGAGTTATCAGTTTGTCCTTGTCACATAATCACGTGTATAAGTGTTCAGCATGTTGCATTACACTATGCTGGCTCTCAATCTCCTCATGTTTCTGCTGCAGGGCTTGGGCCGCACGCATCGAATCCCCAATCGCCTGGTGGGTCTTCAACAGCTCTGAACCTGGACCCTGCAGCCATGTGACCACCTGAGAGAAAGAGAAAACACAAAGTACACACTTAGAGAAGGAGCAGTGGGAGGAACTTTGTCAGTTGCTGGTTCCAGCAGTACCGTTCCCATCTTTTTTCTCCATAGACATGGACTCTACTGGTGTAATCATCAGTACATAAGAGCAAAACCTATGTTAGAATATATCTGCTTCTTATCTGATGAAATGTAGAATATGCAAGCCTGTGCAAACAAAAATGTAAGATGAGAGGTGAACTGCTATTCCCATTTTGCATTTTCATAGTTAAGATCTGATCTCAGAGCTGCACATTCTGTCAAATGCACTGCTAACAGCAGGTGGAAGCTATGGCCAGTAAGCCCTGAAGTGTGACAATGAGCTAGCATGCACAATACCAGCGGCTTAATGGAATCCAGGTGAACGTTTTATTTTTTTTTACTTTAATTTTAACTTAATTTTATTATTTTCACCTGCTTTAACTGTCAAAATGTCTTCAGTGAGAAAGAGACTGTTATTTGTGGGACCTCATCCTATGACTGTGAGTGAAAGCAACTCTACGTGTCTTTTTTTTATCATGTAGTCATTTTATTAATTATCCACTTAAACATATTTGGTATTTTCCACAATATTATCAATGTAAATCACTGCTGCTTACATTCATTTCCTGGAGACTTACTCTAACTTTAAGCCAAGTCATAACCCAATAGTTCAATGATTTTCATGGTGGTGGGGACAAGGACACACACACACACACACACTTTGATCCAGAACTAGGACTAAGCCTCCACCTCAAATCCTCCAGACTCTTGACCAACATGTTGCGGCTACCATGGCAACCCCAGGCTCATCTCCAAGACAGTGGTAATACCCACCAACCCCGGCGGCTGCAGAAGCGCCAGCTAACATGATAGAGTCTAGTTCTATTCAAATGAAGTAAATCTGCCCATTGACAATCTTTCTCTGGGGGTCAAAGGTCAAAGACTGGACAATAAATTAAAGACTGAGGAGGCTTTTAAAGATAAATACCCTAAGCAGGACATACAGTGTGGGAGAATATTAGGGTCACATAAAGGGTGTTGTTTTGAAGAACCGCATCCTGGAGGGTCTGGTGTTGTATTGCCTAGACAAATGTTTTCAGGTAAACAGCAAATGGTGGGTTTAGTGCTGCAGGGTCTACGG